CCTGGTAACATCTCTCTTCTAACACAGCAAAAATTGCAGAAGAAGAAATAGTTTGAGTAGTGAAACATCAAGACTATTTTAAAAAACTAAAAGAGTTTAGCAAGGAGATGACAATGAGCCATGAAGTCAATTGAATCTCTTGGCACTACCTGAATAGAAATGATGCTACCCCTCCCAGGTGGTTGGTTGGCTTTAACGTTTTAGATGGAGCAAGGATCGAAAGGGAAAGGGGGGATTGTTAACTATTGAAGCCAAACTCTTAGAGCTACGGGGTCTCAGTAACTTTGTGGTAAGACTACCTGCCCCTCTTTTCCCTCCCAACACCCCTTTCTTAGGAAACTTAATAAAAGCAGAACTGGTGAAAGCTGTGCTGTTGTAACCAGCTTAGACCTGAAGAATGTTAGATTATGCTCTTTGCCCCAAGCTTGTGCAGTGGAAGGGTTTTCATTCTAGCCACTTTAACTATACTAGGGGTATAGCCTGTCATTAGCCCCATGTAAAGGATCATTTTGAAACTGTGGAAGCAAAGTGTTTTTCTTTGATCTTCTCAAAGATGGTGTGATTATAAAAGAACATGTAAGTGGTGCTTTAGGTTTAAAAAGCTTCTAATGTTAAATTGTCTCTTCTCATTAAGACTAAATATAAGGCTCAGGCTAAAATGCCAATTTGTGGAAACTGGAAGAGGTGGGCAAAAAAGATTATACTGACTCGGCTAATTCCAATTCTTAAATCTAACTTTTAAAAAGCATTTTACTTTGCGTAAGAAGCACCGACAATAAAGGCTGACTGAACCTGTGGTTCCAGCATTAACTCAGCCATTTTTCCTGACTTAACTTTTTGAAAAACTTGATAAAGTTGAATTTCTCACTGGGCAGAATTATTGTTAGTGGCTTGCAATGCTGGTGGCTTAAAACCATAAGTCTTTGCTGGGTGACTAGAAGGTGCAACTTGCATGTAGCCTACATTTTTATTTTAATATTTTAAAGCTACTATGGCATAAGACCTGTTTTCATGTACCGTAATGACAAACTCAGTTGTGCATAACTTTATGGCTTAGACACTTATGATACCATAAAACCTTAAGTTGCTTTGAATTTTCTTCAAGTAACCCTTAAACTACCCCGAAGCACACGCATACTTGCACTACAAACACTGCCACCTTAAACTCGTATATAATGACTCGTGTCTTTCTGAAATCCTTTAAAATCCTGAAAGCTGTCTGGTGTCTACGAAAGCATGCGTTTTAACAGTGCCTAGATAAGCATATATACGCCATTAATTACCCTGGCTAGAGAGCTGCAGTGCAAACCACCTTGCATGTGTTGTGTTGTAATCAGTTGACTAATCTTGCTAATGTTTCATAAAGGTCATAGTTCTCATTGACCAGAGTCACTATTAACATGCCAGCTAGAAGGAATAATAAAATCCTAGCTGAGGCTATAGATGAGTGCAATGGCTGGAAGGACTTTGTTCAAACTAGATCTTCCCCCTCCCACTCGTGAAGACAAAGCATGGGGGAAGCTGAAGGTTATGTGCTTCTGAGACCGAGGTTGACCCTGGAATTGCTTTGTAACCTTTAATTATAGCTTCTGTCACCGTGTGACGTGATTATAATGCTGTACAAAATCTGGCCCTTTCAGTATTAATGAAATGACCATATGCTGATAGAGCAAGGCTGCGATGGTCAGTTTTAAGACCTTATGCATATGGTGAAACCTCTTTTAATGCCAGTAACTACCACTGCATACTTATCTCTGACCTGCCTCCCTGACCACTTGGGGTGATCTAGTCTCTGCAGAGAGATGGGGAGGATCCTAAGTAATACTTGTATCTCTGGGGTGTGGTAGCAGATGAGGTATATTGCTGTAGCCTTTAGAGGCAGGGATGCAAGCCCTGCTCCAGGCTTGTGCCAAAGGCTGCCTGTGGCTGGCCCAGGTGTAAATGAGTCTTTGGATTGAATGACTTTGTACCTAAAAATGGTGAGGTGATTAGGAATGTGTTGCTTGCTTGTGATAGAATAGAGTACCTTGAGCAAGTCCAAGGGCTTGCTAGGCTTGGAAGGATCTTCTAACTCCCCTTTTTCACTTGTAATGCCACTTCAGCTGCTGGTTCCTGCCCCTCCACAGAAATAGTGGAACATGCCTTTCAAATTCAAGATCATACACTAAACTCCGTGGACAGATGTCGGACTTTGAAATGGGGGTGCACATAGTGTGGTGCATCATCCCACTTAACTGGGAAAAATGGGTTGTGTTGAAAAGAAATGATATGTTTTACTAATAAGCTAGAGGCAAAAGGCTATACTTATTGGAATGTACTTTAATTTGTTATTTTATATATAGATGTTGTTTCATCAGAATTCAATGGACATCTCACTTAGTCTCTCCCCACCCCATTTAATTTTTTTAAAGGCTTTCTTGAACATCTTAAAAGTGCATCCAATGCTTCACTGAAAGCTATTTCCACCCCTGAGTTAATGTTTTTAGCTAGAATTTAAATAAACCCAACCAAACAAACCCCAGCCTGTAATCCTGTTTAAATTGGAGTTATGTTACTGGGAGCAACTAACAGACAGCAGCATTGCTGAAGAAAGGATAGCTTGGTTAGTGAAATATCAAGACCATTGAAAAAGATAGTTAACACATTGTGGAATGAAGTGTTTAGGAGGCATGGGGCAGATCACAATGGGCCATGAAGTCAATGGACTCTCACTGCAGCCTCAAGAGAGATGCTGCTGGTGATATCAGGCAGCTGGTATTTAACTTTATTGCAACCCCCTGGATCTGCCCGTTAAACTCCTAACATTATGAGTACTGTGTACTACAGTACAACCCTCATCTATTGATGTGGGATAGCTTACAACCTGTTTAGTGGGCAGCACGCTGCCAATGTAAAGATGGTCTGTCCAGCTGTTTGCTGTGCATGGGGTGGGGGGGTTACTTCAAAGGGAGTCACTTCTTATCAACTAGAGCTCATTACTAGTCCCATGCAGCTGATTGAAGAAATAAAAACAGCAGCAAGCAGCTGGAGCACCTCCCTTGGTCCTGTATAAATGCACCTCCTCCCCATCCCACTTCTTTACAGGGTTACTTCTTATCTCCCTGAGAAGTATATGGCACAGCAAGAAAGCAGACCACTGAAGCATGGAATTTTAGTTATGCCTGGATTGGGGGGAGGTGGAACAAGGTTTTTCTCAAATTAAGTGCTGTCAGGGCTGGCTCCCCCCCCCCCCCCCCCCCCCCCATTGCCCTTTCCAGCTTTAGACATCAAAATCTCCTCTTGGTACATAAGACTCCTGCTGAAATACTGGCTTATAGGGCAGTGGTATCCTTGTTGTTCAATATTTGCCTACATAAGATTACCAGTC